TATAAGTATTAGTCCTTGGCCATGGACCATGTAAAGACTGTAGCTAACTTTTAGCCACCCTACATCTTGCTATGAATGCTACGAAAAAATATTTTATGGCTAAAGTGTTTAGCTACGGAAAATTTTATATTTAGCTACAATGTGTTTTATAGCATTAAGTGCATTTTCTTGTAGGGACATTTATATCTACAAACCATTTATTTCATATGTAAATAAAATTTATAATCACAACATTACTTTTTAAAATTTATTATTCTCACCGATATAAAATTTATTATTCTCACCAATATATAGTCACTTTAACTCACACCAACCGATTGTTAAAGTGATGAAATATTTATGGTCTATGAGCATGAAAATATAGTTGTGGATGATATTGACCAACAAATGGCTCAAAGTAACAATGTTGGTTAGTCTTCTCGGTCACATGATCGAGAAATGCAAGTTCAATGTGAGAAAATTGTCCGTATTATGTGGGAGGATTATATTAAAGACTAGTACACTACAATTTATGTTACTTTAGTCATGTAACTAATACTTATTAAACTTATTTTAGCATGATTTAATACTTTTAAATTATGATCATTGTCATTATTACTTATTAATTTGCAATATTTGTTTTACGCGATTTCATTATTATTTTTTTGTTGGATATTTTAGTGTCATTAATCATATCATATTTTGTGTTATTTTCTTAAGAAACACCTTAGATAGTTGTATTTTGGTAGGACTAAAGAAATATTTGAAATACAAATATGTTATATGTTTGTATGAATACTTTATCGGAAAAACTCGAAAATTCAAAAAATCCGAAAAAACCCGAGGTTGAAAAACCCGAGTTTTATTGATTTGGTTTGGTTTATAAATTCAAAAATCCGACACAAATGGTTTAGTTTGATATTTGAAAAACCCAAACCAACCTTACCATGTACACCCCTAATCTCCGGTATGCAGTCTCAACTAGTGAAAAATATATTACCTTCTTTAATCATGTTTCATTATTTCTAAGAACTTGTGTTATTTTTCCCTTGATATTCGAAGTTGTCGAATCTAATTTTGTTAGTATTGGAGCGATTGAAAATAGGTAATTTACTTTTTGAAAAAATTATTGAAATACACGTCTTATGTTTTCCTTATTTTTAATATTCTCTTCTATTTTTAAAAGCCTCTAAAATCTCTTATTTCTCTCCTAATTCTAAATTATTTATAATATATTCGAGCTAGTTTTTAATGTATCCGAGCTAATTTTTAATGTATCCGAGCTACATATTATGTATCCGGTTTATTTTATAATGTATCCGAGCTAGTTTTTAATGTATCCAAGCTACATATTATGTATCCGGTTTGTTTTACCTTTTTAGGGATTAATATAATTACAAACTAAATAGGGATAAATTGTAATTTCATATTAAAAGTACTATATGATTCCTAAAATTTATACTTTATTTTTTGTGTAGCAAGAAGCTGAAGAGCAGGCTAAAAAGAATCAGTAAAATACTTTTATGCATGTTGAGATTGTGATACCTAAGGAACCAAAGGAAGATTAAGCACCTAAGCCAATTGTTTTTATATCCGAACAAATTTTAGTCGTTTCCTGTAAGGGATAAAAATAAATAGTCATGGGATAAGAAAATAGTGATGGGATAAATTTTTTGTGTCTTGTTTGGTTGCCATGTTTGGAATAACTTATCCCACTATTTACACCATAGTGATGGGATAAGTCATCCCATATATATGGTGGGATAAGTTATCCCAGGATAGCTAATCCCGAAATAACTAATCCTGAGATAACTTGTTCCCAACCAAACGACTAATATAATATATTAGTATCTTCTTTATGTTTCATTATTCGTATTTTTGGCTAGCAAGAGATTTCCATTGAAAAATGTTTAAGGAATAGATTTTCGTTTAAAATTCACTTATTAGTTTTACATATTTAAATATTGATTATTTCATTACCACAATCAACATTAGGTAAATGTGATGGAGAACTTTTCATCTCCAACAATTACTTCAAATGGAGATATGTATCTATTTTATAAGATGATAAATTATCA